CTTATGTCCCCCTCGAAACCATACAACTTTTGTCTGAAACATTTTTTCATATCTCTTTTAGTTTTTTAAAAAATCGACTGTATAAATTAAAATGGCCCACCCTGTATATATATATAACTTGAGTGGTATGGAAATCGATAAAATAAAATGTGAGGAAAAGCCCCAACGCGTCCGTTCGTTCCAGCTGCGATTTTCGATTGCGGTGTGAACATCGACAATCCAGACGCGAGGTGAAGCCCCCGATAGACTTTAATCTCCACGGGGAGCAAAACATTTGCCCCCCCTTTAATGCTCGTTTTCTTTTCCTCCGCAGGTACGTGGCGATCTGCCACCCCTTCATCTCGCACACAATGTCGAAGCTGTCCAGAGCGGTAAAGTTCGTGGTGGCGATCTGGCTGCTGGCCCTCTGCCTCGCCGTGCCGCAGGCCATTCAGTTCGGCATCATCGTCGATTACGCCGATAATGGCACCGCCAACCTGGATAGCGCCAGATGCTCGCTGCGGTGGGCGCTAATCGAGCACGCCTTCGAGATCTCGACCATCCTGTTCTTTGTGCTGCCGATGACGATCATCACCGTGCTGTACGTCTTGATCGCCATCAAGCTGCGACGCTCGAGCCTGCTGACCACCACCGTCAGTAAAAGACACCACGTTCCCGGCGTGTTGAATCACGTGGACAGCAGCAGAGGAAAGACGAACGCTCAGAGGAACGTTATTCGCATGCTCGGTAAGCGATCTCTTTGACCGGAAATTACAGACCGTACGCGGTTTAAGATGACTGGGTTTATTTATTCTGAAGAAATCATTTAAAAAAGTCCTTCACCAAGACCGGCCGACAAATTCGCTGAACAATCGACGATAAAGCCCGTAACTCTCGGAAAAATTACGAGCAATTTGACTGACCCCGCGTCTCGAAGAATACTTTGAATCGCGATACGCAGAGTGTCCCATAATAAATAGGTCAAACGGTGTAACGATAAGTCTACACAGAAGGTCAAACAGATAATAGAGGCATAATCTTTTCAATTAATTTCAAGCGAGTTTTAACAGAATTTCAATTTGAAACCTGGCTCTAAAGATATTATTAAAACTTAGAAAGCTTTTATTTAAGCTCGGCGAGGAATCTTATTAAAATGTGTCCCACTTATTCACCTTGCGTGCAGTACTTGTGACAGTTTCAAAAAAGTATGTCGTACAATAACGTAATTAGGCAAATTTGTGACGATAACGATTGCTCCACTACCATTAGTTACATTAATAACAGCGCCAGCAGTTTGAATGTAACATATTACATATTCTAGTTCGAAGTTAGGTACGTTCGCATAGTTTCACATGCAAATAATTCAAACGTATCGCGCCCAGACATCCCCTCCTCACGAAAAGTTCAAGTGAGCTCACGTCGCCCGGAGCGAGTTGGTATATGTAAATGCTTAGCTAGACATTGCTGTTGTAATCTCGCGAAATACTCATATCCGTGCTTAATTATTTGAGCTTTGCTCAAAAGAACGCGGATCTCCGAATAATGCTGCAAGCATGCAAGTAATTTCGCAAACACGCAACTGCGGCAACAGAGAGACACTTTGAAGCCGCTCGTTCATTACTTACAAACCTGTAAGTATCGCGTGCTTTCCGTAAATACCTGAGAGTTTCTGCGATCTGAAGATTGTACGAGCATTTATCGACCACTTTTTACACGATCAGAATCTTAATACAAATATAATGACAATTTTACGTCGCAAACGTCAGGGTGGCAGATGCAGCTCGTGATAAGTTTCGATATCAAGTGAGATCCTGACGAGGTCGAGCGTTACGTACAATTTCACGCACTGAAAAAACAATCTGGTTACATTAATTAAAAATCTGGTAGAGCCAACCAGTCGTCTATTAGAAAATTGACGAATCAGAATTCCTTTACCCTCAGGAAGGATTTCTGTTACTGAGATAAAAATATTCTCTTGCATGTATATTTCTCACAACCTCATTAAGTATAAAAATAAGACAATATCAAAGTCAAATCGCTAATTCTTATTCTCCTCTATCGAATTAAAAAAGATTGACTTACTCTACTGAGACAAGAGTAACTTATATAAATGTAAGTTTATATATTCTTGCGTTTAGAATAAATTTTCCCTCCATCTTACAACGCACGAAAGTTGACACCGCGATATTCGACAAAAGACGATTCTAGATTTTAGAAATTATCATTTAAGATTAAAAAAATTCCTTTCTCTATGATAATTACACTGAAAAAAATTTCTGGTTGAATATGGAATCAGATAATTCCTTTAGGATTTACCAGAATTCCTTTAGGATTTACCAGAATTTCTGTAGGATTACAGGAATTCTGGTAAATCCTAAAGGAATTATCTAATTCGTCCATATTCAACCAGAAATTTTTTTCAGTGTATGATTGGTGCTATGTCGATACTATTTTACGATACATTGAAGCGTAATGGCATTGGATCCGGAAATATTTTTCTATGGGTGTTTAGGATTTACCAGATGTGCAGCGAAGTCTAGCAAACTTCTGGTTATGAAATATCGAGCCCTACCCGTGCTAACTAGAAATTCTGTTTGGTTTAACCAAAACACATTCTATCATACGTGTCTTGTTGATCAAAGCATTTTTCTCAGTGCGGGGAACACGGTTATTTCTAGTTAAACACGTCGATTACAATTCGGTTAGGAATACAATGAAAAGAAATTACGACGCTGTTAATTTCATTAATCGCTATCGGACTAGATGCAAAACTAAATGTCGTCGTGCTCGTTTCTCGCATGAAATACGAGAATTAAACAGGAATGATTGCCGTTCTCAAAGTCAACCTGGATTACTAAAAGAGGGAAATATCGAGAGAAAACGGTTATCCCTATCGATTCTGACGGGATATAATCTGCCGTGTCAACGTGTCCGGCATCGCGAATTTGTTCAAAACAGGAATCCATAATATTAGTCATCGAGCCGCACAAATATCAAGATACATCGATTCCAACTTGGAGGGATCCAGGACATTTGGTCGGCTTTTTACGACTTCACGTATATTTCTTCTTTTCAATGTGACATCACCACTCGTAAAGATGAGACCTTTATTCATATTTACATTCTGCTGTACTTGACGTCTAGATTTAAATTGCAGGAGATTTACTTTATACATGCACATGTGTTGTATTTTTTATTGTAAATAACTTAATTCTTTTCTCATTTTTAAATTAATTTTCAGTAAACCCATCTTACGAATAAGGACATAAAAATATATATGCAAAAATATATTTCAGAAAAAATTTTCTTGTATCTAAATAAGCTTTTGCATACTAAATTTCCTTCTCTTAATTATACTTAAAGAACTAATAAAAATTAAAAACAAACTTCCACGGGAAGGTAACTAAATTTTCCGCCTGTCTCCAATTTTGTCTCAACGTGATGATGCTTGAATAATTTTACATTTGTATCGTAAACATTTTTACTGACAAATTGCCTCCGGAGGATCTTGATGGGAAAAGAAAATCTCTACGCCGTTTCCGCGTTGTCGTCGAGCACGTAACAGATCTTCGCACGACGCGCTATTCATACGATACGGTTCGTTCGTGATACGAATAGGATCGACGAACTCACTTTCGTTCGTTGTAAGAACTCATTGACAAGTCTCTCGAGGCTGAGCTATATCCTTCAGCAGGACGATCAAAGAGATTGCCGAACGCGATGAGATCTTGGAAATAGCCGGCCGTGCCCATGTCTCGACAAATCAACCGAGTAATTTCGGACTCCATTATACTATAACCGTATATATTTTCGGAATTACCAGGTTGGACATGTGCATTTAAGTGGGTCAAATCAAGCGAATATCACGACGTCCACCGAACAACAAGAATGTTTCGGCGTTTCGAGGTGTTACGATTAAATCACTCACATGTCTACGTCGCGTTGCTGCATATCGGATACCCTAAGATTTACAGAACGTTGGTGAACGTTTTTGAATGAATTTTAAAAGTTTCTTTTCAAAAAAAAGGAATCGCACCCTCAGAAAGGATTTCCATTGCCGAGACAAAAATATTCTTGACGCATTTATATTTCTCACAACCTCATTTAGTATAAAAATAAGACAATATCAAAATAAAATCAATAATTCTTATTCTCCTCTGTTGAATTAAAAATATATTGAGACAAGAGTAACTTATATAAATGTAAGTTTATATATTCTTGCGTTTAAAACAAATGTTCCCTCAACAAAAGACGACGCATACTATCATTTTATTCTAAATTAAACATTTTTTAATTTAAGATTAAAATATTCCTTTCTCTACAATAATTATGATTGGCGCTATATCGATCCTATTTTGATACATTAAAGTGTAATAGCATTGGAAATTTTTTCTGTGAGTGCGAGTTTTAACGTTACATTATTCCAAAATGATCAAAGGGGTGTAAGTAAAACGTCTCAATTTAAAGAACCTTACTTTTCGTGCGATTTCAAGCGAAAATATTCACGTAATCTGAAATTGAATGGGAGCATTCGCCAATCTCGTTATTTCCCCTCGTAAAAAAGAGCGCCGCTACATTCCCAGCGAATCGATCGCTAGTATTAACGTCGGCGCAAAGAGAGAACAAAAATCAAATCGGCATCAAACAGCGCCCCAGTGTAGTGATAAAATTTGAAGTACGAGGGTGTGTAAGACCCGCACCATATTATTGACATTTCTCGTGAGTTATCCCCTTATCTTCTCCGCCTCACTACGAGCGCCCTCGGGTTCGGGGGCTTGTGTCTAAAACCCCGAAGAATTATTCCGCTCGCGCCTGGTAATAGCCATAGACGAACGACGTGCTCTTCTTGTCACGCTTCTAATCTTTCACGCGGCGAGGATTTCATCCTTGGTCGCGTCGACAAGTTGAGGTCGCCTCCCCAATTTTCGGGCCAGATCTCTTTATTGAATTTCTTGCGAACTTCGCTTTCAAGGTCGTCGAGTCCAGAGAGAAATTTGATCGATGTAAAGGGGACGATACGTCGGGCAAAGATAGAAGGTAACTCATGATTGGATGAGTCAACCCTTTTTGTAAATATGTAACAATGCGCATTACAAGGCAGCGCCATTGAACTTGGAGTATCGTAATTTTGTAAAGAACATTTAGATAAAAAATTTATTGAACGTTAGAAATTCATTGAAATTTATTAGCATTAAATTTACACTTTGCATTTTGCGTACTAGAATCGGTAACGTAAATGACTAGGTAAAGTAAACCGCGATTGCCATTGTTACGCATATATTCATGGGTGCGTTTTGGTGAACGGCCGGTTGTGTACCTTTGCCCGAGTTAAACGGGGGCGATTCTAATCTATTTTCTGACCAATCGACTTACGTAAGACTCGAGCAATCCCCCAAAGTATCGAAGCCTCCGCGTGATCGCAGGTTGCATCCAAATTTACTCTGAATTATGATGGCAGTTGGCAGATCTCCCCGGCTTATCGCTCGCGTAAACGCGCGAACTCTCGTTGCAGCTTTGCTTCTTACAGACCGCGAGTCAAGAGTTTCTGATATCTCTGTGCCTTATAATGCGCGCACAAACACGATAGTATTCCGCGTCAATGAAAAATTTATAAGCGATTACATATCCGAGGTCTAACTCTTGTGCAAGAGTGTAACGCAATATCAATCACGAATCTCGCGGCAACAAGTTTTATTTAGATCCCTCTCATCGAGCCGCCTGGGGTATACTGAGCTTAATGAAGAAGA